ACAACAAAGCTGAACAAAGATAGATAATTGCATCTATCCCCATCCTCTAGCTTAACCTGAAACATTCTTTTTTATCTTAATTGATAGTGACAGCTGAAGAGTGATCATGGGAGTCTTCAACACCGTTGCTGTCATTGCAGTTAGCTTCTCCTGGTTAGTGTTAAAAAGTTAGTTAGTTAAAAAGAGTTAAAAAATAGTTAGTAGTACCCTCCCAAGATCTAAACAGTGGATGGTAAAAAAGTGCCTTCAAACTGGATAAAAAGTAAAAAAAAAAAACACACCAGAAAAACACCCTCTTTTATATCCCTATGGTAAATAAAACTCAATAAAGTGTCCCCTTGGGTGGCCTTCCAATGGCCAAAACATGGTAAAGTGCCCTTTAGGGTGCTAATCCTAACCCAGACTAAGCTGTTTCTCAATCACAAGTTTGTGAGTGCTGGTACCCATGTTATATTATAGAAAGTAGCTGTCCAAATCCAATTAATCATCTGGGAAGCCTGTGAGTCTGCATATTTGGATTCATATTTGGAGATAAGGTGGACCTGGATAGTAACAGGTTTCATGGGAAATGTGGTAATAATAGTCTATAGAAAAACACTTTCCAACATTTCCACAGGTGTGAGAAAGAGGCTGCCAATTGTCTCAACCCTGTGTTTACGGTAAGTACACTGAGGTATCATATTTAATGTGGCAATAATCTCTCTCAACAGCCAAAACCTAACCCCTTAACTGTTATCTGAATCTAACCTTACCCATAATCCTAGCTGCCTGTAACCCTAAACCCTTTTCCGCATCCTAAAATTAATCCATGTGGACCTTATGAATGCAACACAAGGGCACACTCATGTATGTCATTACCTCCCAGGGTTGCACGGTGCCTGGAGTTTTGCAGTCTCTGCTCTTGCAGATAGATGCCACAGCCTGAGCGATAGCACTCACAGCCATCTCAATACTGAAGACAGAAGCAGCATGAGAGTGTTCTCTGAGGATGTTCACAGCTTTAGACACCAGCTTAGTGTCTCCAGAACCTTCAGTAGCATTTAGCTGCCTGTAGAACTCCTGCATGAAGGAGTTATTCTCCGTGTAGTCCTGTCCAGCCGCCTCCAGCCTGCTCAGGTACTCACTGAATGATGACATGTCTCCCCTTTTGAAGGTGAAGCCCACAACATGTCCTATGTCCTCCAGAGTTAAGTTACCTGTCACAGAGCTGGAGGAGGACCAGCTGTCACTGGCCACCCAGACTCTTCTCATTGACCTCATGTTCTGTCCTGCTTTCAGCGTCTGATTCTTAAGCTCCTGGTATAGGTACATCATGTGAGTTGATGTGGCAAAGGACACAATCAGCTGTACCTTGGGGTTCCTGTAAATGGTTTCGGCAGTCTGCATGACAGCAGAGCAGACATCAGGGTTGCTTACAGACTGAGGTAGGATTGATTTAAAGGCCACACAGATCCCCTTTTCAGAAGCGTGGGACACAAAGAGGTCAAGCGCTGAACTGCCGTAATTTCCATCTGTGGTAACTATTCCCACCCAGTTCCAGCCATAGGTGCTGAGCAGACTGACCATGGCAGCTGTCTGATGATCATCATTAGGAATGGTCCTCATGAAGGTGGGGAAGCGGCTCTTATCGCTTAGAATGACAGCGGTCGATGAATAACTGATCTGGAGAAAACAAAAGCAATGTTATTTTCAGAGATGCCAATTAAAGCAAAAAGTACAGAAATCTGAAAGGCAATGGCGCCCTTCCAAACTATTAGAATATCGTTCAATTTGGCAAGATAATTTAAAACCTATAGAAAGGGCCCTCATAATGGACATAGGCCGCTATTATTCAAGACTAATAGAAGCAAAATAAGAACAACCCTAGGTTTCTTCAGCACTGTAGCCAGGCTGACAGAGACTCAAAGCTCTATTGAGCCATGTATGTGTTCTTTTATGATAAAATTAATAATATTAGAGACAAAATGAATCACCAAATATCCTCAACAGGTATCGCTGTCTCTCCAAGTTCAGGAATATTGAAAACGTATTATGTGAAATATATATGTCTCTTTACTACACAATCCCCCCCTTTGTCATTGATGAAGCAAATACAACTTCATATTACAATAGTCAAACATTAAAGACATCCAAGCGCCATTCAAATCTGTTTTGCAAGACTAACACAAATTGAATATTGGTTCATGTAAGTTACTCATAGCCCAGAGAAATAATATGACCTGAGATATTAATGCATAATATGGAGCTATAAGTAAAAACTGAAAGAAAACACCGCATTATGGACTTTATTATGTAATTACCGTATCTATATACTTAATACAGTATGTATAAAAATAACAGAACTATGAGCCAGCAGATCATAAAAGTCATACGTATCCTCTGGATTGTATACAAAGTGTTTAAAAACAAAAAGACAAGATACTGCTCTTAATATACAAATATAAATGTTCACGATGTTCATATTCCCCTGCATACGAAGTATAGTTTACTCGTAGCATTGTTTATATATCAACGTTATCGAATACGATGAGGCAGTGGGGGTCCATAGCGCGTCAGACCCTTAATTACAGTGTATTCAATTAACTATCATTTTCAAAAGTTTCTACTACCTTTGCTGGCCTCACTGAGGCATGGCCTTAATGTGGTTGTCCACTTGATATTTTGCAGATGCACTGTACTTGCAGAACGACATGACAGGTCTCTGCTTTTTGTGGATTTGGGGAAGTCATCCCCACGTATCACTGTAATCGTGTCTCTATACATAAAAAAAAAACATGATTACAAAGTCACAAAATACTGACTTATGCATTAAATTTTTCTTGTACTCTGATTAGTCTTCATTACAGTGCATATACCACCGAATGCACTCTGATATTAGTATTACATTAGTTTAAATATAACATTAGCTCATATGCAGCTAATTCACATGAGCTAACAATACACCTAAAATTACATGAAACAATATTATTAAAAGTCACACTTACTTACTTTATTTAATGATACCAAAGCGGCAGTCAGAAGCGTGGAAGGAGACAGGAGAATAGACCGAACAGGAAGCATCACGGTGACGGTGGAGTCAAATGTTGGAGAGTGGGCGGGGTTTAACCGTTTAACTCCGCCCAAATTGAGGTCTGGCGGGTCTGCGGACTCTTGCATGGGTTAAGACCTTCGCGTATGGATCGGATTGGAAAAAGGCGAAAGGAATGTCTCAAAATTACGTAAACGAGCAGGGATGAATTGTGCGTGTTGGATGATCGCTAAACACAGAACTCCAACACTTCACACAGGAACGTAAGAGTCGCAAATGAAATTTCAAGACAAATGCACATGCGAGACGTGAAATATTTTACAAATTGGTATGATTTAATTAGCAAGTTTCCAAACATTTGAATAAATCATTACACCTTTGTGCAAATACCAATTTACAAGTCACGAATGTTGACTTTGCGTTTGCCAAAATTATAATCTATACCGCAGTGGATTTGCGGTGTTTTGAATATACGAATAATATTGATTACTGTTTTAGATCTTGGGAGGGTATTACTAACTATCCAAGGTAATACCATCTAGAGTAACAATATCTTTAGACAGTGCGAGTCTCGGATTTGGGGCCAAGTACAAGAACTAATTTAGATAATTGAGTATTTCATCCAGGCTTGATTGATAGATATAACTGTGAATCATCTGCATGACAATAAAGTTAATGGACTGATTCCTAATAATGTTGCCTGAGGGAAGCATATATAAAGTGAATAGAATTGGTCCAAGCACAGAACCTTGTGGAACCCTATGACTGACTTTAGGATTCATCGTTAATGTGTACAAACTGAGAACGATCGGATAAATAGGACTTAAACCAGCTTAATGCGGTTCCTTCAATGCCAATCAGATGCTGAAGTCTCTGTAATCGAATATGATGGTCAATGAATACCACTGCTGTCTCTTGTGCTGTGATGAACTCTAAATCCCTGACTGAAAATCCTCAAATAAGCTGTTGCTATGTAGATATGTCACACAACTGTTTGGCGACTACTTTTGTCCAGAATTTAGAGAGGAACGGGAGGTTAGAATCGGTCTATAGTTTTGGCTAAAACTCCTGGGTCGAGAGTGGGCTTTTTAAGAAGGGGTTTAATTACAGCCTACTTTAAAGGACTCGTGTACATATCCTGACAATAAAGAAAGATTGATCATATCCAGTAAAGAAGTGCCAATTAAGGGTACAACTTCTTTAAGCAGCCTAGTTGGGATTGGATCGTAACACAGACAGGTTAGTCAAAGTCAAAGTCAAAGGTTTGATGGCTTCGATGTAAGAAATTATTGAAGTTAATTGATGCAGCTCGATAGCAGAAAAACAGTCTAAATATATATCTGATTTTACATTAGTTAAAGT